GAGCGGGAAGCTCTCTTGTAATTGGCTAATCATGTTAGTAACCATGGCGAAACCAATATCCTCACACGAGAAAGATAAAAATAGCATTTTTACTGCGCGCGGTGAAGATATGACTTTTTAGTAAAAGAAAAAATCCTGGCATTTCATCAGTATCTATACAATAAAATACAATTAGGTGTCCTGCATGAAAAACTAAAACCTTTCACCTTTTTACTTAAAAAAGCCTAAAATACTGGTGCAACCATTTCCTTGCATCACTTTCCATATTTCTTTTGCCCTGTTCAACGAAGCCAATACACATGTTTCACTCACCTTTCATTCTGACTCTGTTAAGTTCTGTACATAGTCCTTTTAGTTCTTCTTCAAAATCAGCAGTAAAGAGTTCAGGGGGAGGCAAAGTACCTGAAAGGAAAGGTAAACAGAAGGATACACTGTACTTAGCATTCACGGACTTACCTTACATAAATGGTTAAAAACAGGCATTTAACAAACACTGCACATTGTGTTAGGGTCATGTGATAGTACAGTTATAGTGTCAGTTTTCTGATTAATCTCCTATGGTCATTGTTGAAATCAACCATTAAGAAAAACTGTTTCATCATAATAAGCCACAGCCAACTTAATACTCCCTTTTGCCACGGCACAGAATAAGGAAGAACAAATTAAGAAAAAATTCATATAAAAGCTAACACTTTATATATTACCCGGAAGTATAGGACAGCAATCTTACTAATTAGCTATAAAGGAAGCAAGGTTATCTTTACTAAGGGAAAGTTTCCTGTGAAAATGTACATTATTAGAATAAGAAGTGGAAGCATTCATCAATAATAATAAAATCAGATAAAGGGTTCCTTAAAATAAGGAACAATTTTCCTTCAAAAGTGATATTTCAATTCAAGGGTCAAAGCCTTTAATAGCACTCTTGGATTTATTTCTCTCTGATAATGAATCAATAAACATTTTATATCCACCTTCCATTCTGGGCCTCTGAAACTCCTTGCGTAGTTCATCTAGTTTTTCCTCAAGATCAATGGTTGAAAATTGAAGGACAGGAAAACCACCTGAGAGCAAAGGTACACAGAAATATATTTAGCACTAAGTGCCTCACCTGATATAAAAAGTTAAAGCATAATAACATGTATTGAGGTCAAGAGAGAGAACAATGAAGTTAGCTATCTTTAAGTATGTCTTCATTATCACATGCTGCAGCCAATTCAATACTACCTTTGACTGAAATTATGGATTTAGGGGCAAAACTGAATTGAAAATATGTTCCTTAACTAAACTAAGTTACTGAATAAAAGCTGAGAGCATTTAAAAGTATTCTTGGATGAAAATAAAGACAGGAAAACGTTAATATCTCAGATAAGGAATAATTTCTCTCTAAAATATTTACTAGAAAAAAAAGGTGAAAATATTCAAAGGCATTGAGCTATTTATATGGCTAAAATATTAAAAAAGTAATAAAAACCAAACATTTTCAACATTAGGTCATCATTGCCCTGATGATGACCTAGTGTCGCAAATGTTTGGTTTTTACCTATTTAATATGTTAGCTCATTTTAAACCTAAGCAAACTTTATGGACATTTAATGGCATTCCTAGTTCAGTATCTCCCTAAAAATGATAAGAAATGAATTTTTCTTTTCACCTTCCATTCTTAGCATCTCAAGGTGCACACATACTCTCTCTAGCTTTTCTTCAAGATCAGTGGTGGAGAGAAGAGGGGGAGATGAAGAACCTGGGAGCAAAGGTATACAGAGCTTTTCAAAATTCAGTAGCTTACTTAACACAGAAAAGATAACAACAGTTATACCTGTGCAAACAGCAAATTATAGTCATGTTAAAGTTAAATAGTCGTAGTTCTCCATTACAACTCCAATGATCATTGTTTAAAACAACTATTATGCATGCCAACTCAATACCATCTTTAGCTAAAGTAGAGAATGAGACAATGCCAAATTTGGATTAATCTACAATTGACTCTAGCCCTGCGATCACCTCATTATTACAGACACCTTGCCACTGTAGACAAGAGCCAGCCCCTGGAGAAACACATACAGAAATGACTGAAATACATTCCCTCTATTGCAGACTCTTGCTATTGCAATGATGCAGACTCTTTCCTGCCCCCCAGCATGACTTTTCACTTGTTTTTTCTCTTGCTATTACAGACACTTATTTACTCTGTCCAAAATCATGACTAGCATACTATGAACTGACATTATGAAAAATGGAAATAAAGAAACCATTCTTCAATTGGGTGTAAACATATGAAATCTTCTCCTTACAGCCAGATCTTTTTCTGGTTTGTGGAAACTTTATGTCATATGTTAAGAAACAAAACAAATGTTTATTTCTCTTGTACCCCATTATTACAAACTTTTTGCTATTACAGACACTAAATCTCCCCCCGAGGGTGTCCACAGTAATGGGAGTCAACCTTAAGGGGAAAAGTACAAAGAGGAATTCATGGTGTTATCTTTAAGAGTGACATGATAACAGGTCAAACCAACATGCCATTAACTGATTGTATTTGTTGTACAAAATATATCTACACTACACCACAGTCAGTTTTTAAGGCATAATTTAAGATCAACACTGAAAAAACTAAGTTTATCATTATATGCTGTTTCACCAACCTAGCCTCTACTATCTTAATTTTCTCTTATAGCAAAACACAGAGTGACGGAAAACTACATTGGGTGTAATTTCCTTTTCAAAAAAATATTGCGAATGAGAACTAAATTTATTTAAAAGCATTCTTGGTTTAGTTTTACCATCAAAGTCAATTTAACAGCACTTTTTCATTCACCTTTCATAATTTGAAGTTTCATATGTAGCACTTCTAGTTCATCTTCAGGATCAGAGGTGGAAGATCCAAGGGGAGGCAACATGCCTAAAAACAAAGTTATACAGAGGGAGATTAGCATTTCTTCTGATAAATAGTTTGAAACAGGCATACCAACCTGTAGCTCCAAGGATAGATATAAAAAAAGCTGTTCAAAACATCCATTTGAAATACATACATACAGTACAATAATTATTGTTTTAATTTCACAAACCAACTCAAATTCCCTTTAATATAAGTAGAGAATGAGGCACAATCATATTTGGAGTAATTTACATTTATCTATTTTACATTATTTACAGCAATATTAGTATTCAAGGTGTTAGTTTCATTTGAGAGATGATAACACAGCAAACCAACAAGTCATGTGACCATCCCTATAAGTGCATGAAATTTATCTTAAATACAAAATTTAGGTAAAACTAAATTGGGTTTTAATTTCTTTCAAATTAATCTTTTTAATGAAGAACTGAGAGTATTTCAAATAATTGTCAGTTTAGTTTTACCCAAAAGACCCTTACAACCTTAAATGTTTAATCCCAAAAGCACACTTCTTTATGCTTGACATAATAACTGAACATACTGAACATATTTACTACAGATATTAATTCAAACTGAGCTTCCTGTTCACCTTTCCTTCCCTGTGCTTTTCCTATAAGTTCTTTTCCATGACCAGTGGTGGGTATTACAGTGAGGGGTGAAGTACCTAAGAACAAAAAGTACAGGGAGAGATTAGCATTCACAGCCTCTCTGCAGATACGCTGTAAGTTGTTCCCCATAAGTTGTACTCTTAAAATAATACTAACACCACATTACTGCATTGAGATAATTCTTCAAAGCTTTGTCAAATAATAAATTGTTATTACTGTTCACAAAAACTTTCCATAATAACTTAATACATCTTTTAATTTTGTTTTCACCTTTCAGTTTCTCTGTCTCAACAATCTTTGTCTTCTGTTTCCATTTTTTCAGCTCTTTTTGTTTTTGTGGACTTTCACTGGTTGAAATTATGGAGTGGAATTCAGAAGATGAGGCACCTAAAATCAGATTTAAAAGAAAACAAATAATGGGGCAATCACTAAATACTGACATTCAAAACCATACAACACACCTCAAATCATTTTTATAAAAACCCCACACACAAATACAGGTAACATTTTCTTTTATAGCTTCTCCAACTAAAATCTTGCCAATTTTTATTTTAGCTTGTTTTATTTTGTTTATATTTGGAGCCAAAGATAAATACAAGCAGACAGAAAGGAAAATATACTAGGAAATTTCTTGAAAACAAATCACTTCTAGCTGCAGATTGTCATTGTATACATAGTAAGTATGAGCTTAGTCATGAAACAATTGGTTGAATATCTTGGTCAAAACCTGGACCCCCTCTACACCTCTGTTAACCCTATGGTGCACCATGTTGAATGAGTGATGCATTGTGTTTTTAATCATTTCAAAACATTTTTCTGAAAGACCAGGCCTTTTTCTTTCTTTCAACTGACCTCTGAGTGCATCCTTCTCAAGAAAGTACAGTTTGTATGCATTGTACTCTTCTGTGTCCATCGTTGTTTTCAGCTTCAGTTCTGCCAGGTTAAGTTCCTTCAAGATCTTTTCAGTTACAAAACAATCTCGTACCATCTTATCCAAAAGGCCACAAGAGTAATCTTCCCATAATTCCTCCAAGCTTGAGAGAGAATCACACTTTACTGTTATCACCAAACTTCCCACAGAAACACCTATGATGAAGACCTTCATTTCTTGTAAGTATTCCTTAAACTCATTGCGTTCATCCCTGCTCTGTGCTGGTGTAGTATCAAGGTAATTCATGGCAATTAAGCACAAGACTTTCTTTTTGATTGGTTGGGGATCTTCTAAATCTGCATCAGAATGTCCTTTTCTCTTTGTGCCTGAAGCTGTGGATGCCTTCTGATATCCTGCTGGCTCCAAAGCTAAAACTGAAGCTGTATTGTAAGCATCTTGATCTGCACGTTTCACATGTTCCACATCAACTTTGATGTTCAATTTCTGATCTGTTGATTTGGAGCAAAGTGTCCAAGTTAAAATTGTGCTTCAGCTGCACTTGAAACCATTAATATCACATTAAACTTCAAACATATTGGATATTAGTCTGCTTGCAGGTCCTCAGTATTAGAGGGCTTCTACACCAGTGTTCCTTCTCCTAAAACCTGAAATTGCACACCAATCCTCCAATTAAACAGTACCCAGTACACAAAATTTTTACAACATGACAAATTTCATGCGCGTATTTGCAAGATGAAAGAAAGTGGGAAAAAGTTAATGGTGACTGAAAGGGAACTATTACTGCTAGTTTATCCATATCAAAACATTTACAGAAATAAATCATGCAATCTAGCATGCATGCAATGATAGCATGTTATCTACATGTACCTGCCTTCAGTCTTTTACAAAAGGTTTCTGTATTTCCACATACAGTGTCAAAGTAAAAAATGGAGAGATTAACATCACAGCTTCTCTACAAATGTTTAGTTCCCATAAGTGGAACTGTGTACAATTATATTAAATTATTGATGCCACATTATTGCACTGAAATTATCCTTCAAAGATTTATCACATAATTGTTATTACTGTTCACAAAAACTTTCCATAATAAATTAATACAAGTTTGTAATTTCTTTTTCACCTTCCAATTTTGCCGTCTCCATAATCTTTGTCTTCTGTTCACTTTTTTCCCATTGTTCTTTTGTTAGTGGACTTTCACTGGTTGAACTTGTGGAGTGGAATTCAGAGGATAAAGCATCTAAAATCAGATTTACAAGAAGACACACATTTTAAAAGATAAAGACACCTCAAACTATCTTTAAAAACACCCAACATGCAAAAACTAGAAAAAATTTTCTTTCATGGTCCCTCCAACAAAAGTCTTGCCAATTAACCTTTGATTAATGGATGCAATCAAATAAATTAAGGAAAGATAAATACAACCCTATAGAGAGGAAATATCAAGCCAGATGTCTTAGTAGGAAAGATAACAGGCTACTGGGAAGAGATGTTTGAGAAGAATAAAACATCAAATGAAACATCTTGCAAACAAATTACTTCTTGCATTGGCATGGTTTACATACAGTAGTCAGCATGAATTTATTGAAGAGACAAGTTCCCTAACTCTTGATATAAAAACTGGACCCATCTCTTCATGACATGTACCTTACCATACGTCATGTGGAAAGACTGATGAATTTCATTAAAAGCCCTTGACAAATAATTCATAGTAGGACCAGGCCTTGTTACATACTTTCTACCAACCTCTAAGAGCATCTTTCTCAAAGAACATTTTGCATGCATTGTACTCTTCTATGTCTATTGTTGTCTTCAGCCTCAGCTCAGCCAGGTTCAGTTCCTTCAAGATCTTCTCAGTTACAAAACAATTCTGAACCACTTCATCAAGACGACCAGATGAGTAATCTGTCCACAACTCCTCCAAGATCATTAGAGATTCACACTTCACTGTTATCACCAAACTTCCTACAGCAACACCAGTAATGATTAGCCTCATTTCTTTCATGTATTCCATGAACCTAGTGTGCTCTTCAGGGGACTGTGGTGGTGTGGTCTGGAGATAATTTCTAACAATTGATAGAAAGATTTCCTTTTCAAAGGCCTTGAGATGCTCCTTCTGTGAATAGGACACACTTCCAGATGCAGTTAATGTAGCAGATGCCGTTAATGTAGCAGGTGCCCTAGGCTGCTGAACCTCTTGGCATTGGACAGACTCTGCTGCCAACATGCCAATCTGCATATTCTGTTCTTCAGGCTTCAAGTCATCCACCTCAACCTTAATATTTGATTGACCATCTGTTGAATTATAACAGTCAAATTTAATCCTAACAGGACAAGGTTTTTCCACCTCTTATCTATTTAACCACTAAAATGTGACAACATTACAATGAGGCAACACCAATCAAACATAGAGCTTATTACCAATGAATAGATACCAACAACAATTTGCTGAAATGAAAATGATTACAACACACAGTACATTTATTGCTTCAGTTTTAGTTTCTTTTGCATCTTTATCTCATTCCATAGCAGAATCAAAATTCTGATTAATCTAAAATATTACAGTTTCAAACATGGAAATATCAAAACAGACTTAGCTAAAGTGAAAGAGTTATTATTTTGGCTGGGTGGGTCAAGATGGGACACTCTGCGTACCTAATATTTTCATTTTTGTAACAGAAAAAAAAAACATACTAACTTTAAAATGAACGAAAATATTGCATCACTTTACCCTAAGAGAAAGAAAATAAACCTCATTTTACAATGAAAAGCAAGCTGAAACTCTGTTATATGTCCAAGATACCTAACCAAAGATATATTGCAATCTCAAATAGGTGACAATACATTGAACAAGAGAAAAGGATAATAACGGTTCAAAGAGGCTCTCTGATTGCTTGTTCCTCTAACATAGAGACTTTGCCCTCTGTGTGTGAAATACATGATTTTAGAATGCAGGTTGTTTACAATGAATTGACATGCCAAAGATATATCATAATCCTGAATAAGTTAGGATACATTAAACAAGAGAAAAGGAAAATAATTCAAAGAGGGCTCCTTGATTGATTGTTGCTTATCCGGACTTTGCCCTGTGTGTGTGAGATACATGATGAAATGCAGGTTGTTTACAATGAATTGACATGCGATTGGGTTAAGTCCATGGTAGCAGTTGCATGGAAAGTTCACCATCAGTCCCATTTAGTTCTGTGTGAATTTTTTTTGGTGGAGTTGGAAAATGCATTTGGAATATGTGATAAAATGCAGGTTGTTTACGAGGAAATGACACATGATGGAGCAAAGTGGAATTTGATTGGTGGAGTATAATTCAAGCACATGAAAAATTACACAATGTTCATGTAGTGCAATGATTGGGTATGTTCTGATTGGACTTTAAACATTATTTCCATGGTACTTGATGGAATGTGAGTTGTTTGGTAAGTGCATCATCAGTAAAAGAAAGGAAAAACATATTTTAACTTAAAAATGATACAAAAAGTCAGATGTGATCCTTCCATATCCTGATAAATCTCAACCTTAAGGCAAAGGCAAATGAGCCCAAAATTTCTGGTTAAGACCATCCTTTGTGTGCAGTCCCCTGATTTGATGACATAATTTGCAAGAAAGCAATACCCAAATGCTGTAAATGGTGTAAGATATCCTAACGCTGTAATATGATTGGTGCAAGATACATACCTTACGAGGCAATCTGATTAGTGCAAGATAAATATCCTAAAAGACAGTGCACTTGAACACTTGTAGTCCAACCACAAGTCTAGATAAATGTAACAACTCAGGACTAAAGGTGCACTTTACTCGTTCTTGTGTTTATCTACATGTACCAGTACTCAGTTTACCTTATGTAGCTCAGTCTACACATACGGTTTAGCTTCCAACATGTAGCATAACATTTCAGCAAACGTACTGAACGAAAAGAAAATTAAAAGAAGTGGACTCACCATTTGCAGTTTTCACAACATTTTCAATCAGCCTGTTAAACCTCTCACATTCTGCTTTCCAAGAGTAAACCTTCCTGTAGTTCTCTCTGAGCTGTCTAACATGGGTTTGTCTCTCTTCTGGACTTTGGCTAGACACCTCACTTATCCTCCGCGCCCATTCATCTTCATCTGATCCAACAATGACAGCATTTCCACCTTCTACATTTTGCAAAGCTTCAGCTACTCCAGATTCACCAGAAACAAGAATAGGAACTCCACAAGAAATGGCCTCGAGGCCAACTAACCCAAATCCTTCTGTACGTGAAGGAAGAGCAACTAGATCTGATTGGTGAAACATTCCTTTCAGTTCATCCTGATCAGTGCAATAACCACGAATCGTTATCTGCTTGCGTTTGATGCATGTGTTCTGGAGAAACCATCGCTCCACATTTCGGTGCTCACCAGGAGAAGAGCCAACAAATGTGAGCTCAAATTTCCCTCCAAGGGAACCTATGGCATTTGCCACTATATCATAACCCTTTAAAGAAAGGTCTTCAAAGGTTGCTCGGCCAAACATGAAGACGTTGAATGTCTTAATGACCATGTAGGACTTAAAGGCATTCAACGTCCTCGATAATACACCTGCATGTTCTCTTGATTCTATTGATTCGTTGCAAAACTTTTCCACGATTCCGGGGGTGATGATCTCTACATTTGGTAGACTTCTGCTGTACTTCTGTTGTAGACGTGAGCCGACAGCGACAACTGCATCCGCTGCTTTACACAACTCAATTTCCATCTTATGCTTCTCCTCGTTCTCCTCGATCGTATCTGTAACAGCCGTGGCAGTAGTTTCTTTGAACTTTCCAAGGTCTTCGCAGAAGACGTGGACGAACTGAACCCATTTACATCTTGAAACTCGTACAATGTGACATGCTGGAGTTCCAAGTTTTCTGCCATGACCGATCACAATATGCGGATTCGGAAGCTCTGGAGGTGGAACTTTCAACCAATCTAAGGGATCTCGCGATCCAGGAACAGTCTGAGCGGTGATTAAATTCACTCCATGTTGTTCAGCATCTTCTCTGTCCTGATCATCGCTTCTCGAGACATAGCAGTGGATGTTCATGCTACCAGTCGTTGTCTCTGCCAAATTAATAGCTAACTCGCGATTGAAAGTTGATAATCCACCTTTCGAAGATTTCCACTCGTCACAGAGAAACATGACATCTATAAGCCTCTGTTCTTTCTTCTCCTCTTCGCTAGTTGTAGCAGTGGATGCGCTCCAATACGCCATTGTTAATATCGGTCTAATTTCTTCCAGCAATCGATAAGTTTCACTTCACCAAATGTCACGTATAAAGTAAATTCGTAAAGAACATTCACGTTTGACTCCATCTCGAACACCTTGAGTGTCTGACGCAGATGGCTCAAGTTCCTGAATGCTAACCTAGTTAGTCTCCTCTACTAACTATGATGCTAAGGATGCCTCAAGGATCAGAAGGAGCTTAGATACCAGGCTCAATTAGGTAACCAAGCCTTCTGTTGATTTGTTCACAATTCTATACTCATCTCTCCCGACTGGTTGAAGTGCGATTGGATGGGGACAGGGAGGAGAACATTTTTGTTACTTGCACGAGAAAAAACAAATGGGAAGTTATCTGTTAACCCTATTTTTTTTTTATCATTTTCCCGTGAAAGAATATTACCTTATCTCGCTGCGCTCCGTTCAAATACGAATCTTCTGCCTTTGGCTAAAATACGCTTTCTTCGAGAATTCTAAACTCTACTCACGGTCAAATGGAACCGAAGGGAATTTCAAACCTAGAAAATACTTGCTTCTGAATAGTGTCTTAGCTCTGCTCTCGGTGACGTTTTTCCGAAGGACTCGCTAGATTGCAGAACAATCGCAAGAAGTGCACCTCGTCGACTACAGCATGTCTTGAAAATGTATTCAATGTTAAAAGAAATCCTAGCAGGCAAAAAGAATTAACCTTTCGGTGAACTACGTAACTGAACCAAGTACTTTTTTTAACGGACCACAAAATTCGTCGTAGGTGTAGTAATCCGCTTATTTATTCTTGACATTAAGCTTATTTCGACTTAACTAGACCCTGTGAGCAGGGTAACTGGGATACCTGGATGGTACTGGATCCTTGGAATCAAGTGTAGTGATACTATGGGTGTCGGACTAGTATACTGAAATAGTGAGCTCAAGTCTGGCTAAGGGCATACACCTATTTCAAAACACAGGCATGCTCTGCATGCAAGAGTTATTTTTTGTAGGGTGGGTGGATTACTTGAAACATTGTTAGTGGTCTACATTCTTACAAAAGGAAAGAAGAGTATTAACGCGGAAAAGAACGAAAATGTCGAATTACCTCACACACAGGTATTTTGTGGTAAATTATGTGTGTTGCGCGAATAAATGTCACCAAAAATAAACTGTATTGGTGCCACGGATACCTGTTACTACAAAATGCAGACAGCAGACTGCAGACCGGATGCAAAATATAGACTGCAGACTGCAGAGTGGGTACAAAATGCAGACGGAGAATCTGAAGAGTTTTTACGCCTGGTATATAATAACATGTCATCTTACAGCTTACCGAGTGTCACGCAATCGCTTTTCCGCGATCAGCCTTCACCATTATTTGCACTATTGTGGAAAATTCCTGGCCCATTTCTTGATGAAAATCGATCGTAATATAATTTCAGGCCTTTAATATAGTCTTCTTCCTTTGCGCGCGAGTTGGTTGGTGTGATGTCTGTACAGATTTTATCAACGTAATAAAAGTAGATGACGTGAATAACAGTAATGGTAAAGCAAGCTTAAAACGGCAGAAATCGCCAGAAACTACAACGGATACACAGAGTATGAGTAATTTTTATTGATTTTATAAGAAAAATGTTTATATTTCGAAATATTGATCGTTGTAAATCGACCATATTTCGTTCCCTGTACACTGTTATCGTAGCTACGTTCCCTGGCATCAAGTGAATCCAACATGCCGTCTTTCTTCACTATCAGTTTGCATCCGTTAGAGTTTTGTTCTTTAGTCTCACGGTAAGAGTGTTGTTCAACAGATTGCATAGAGTATATGCAGTTTGGTTTCAGATTTTGCTTTTTACAACAAGTGTACGTTTTTCAACTAAGACATTGGCATACTTGGCATACAAGGCATTCAAGGCTTTCATGGCTTTCAAGCGTTGGCGACTCAATCCGTTCGAAAATTACTGCTCAATAACATCTTTTAGCATGGATTGGCCGCGAACAATACGACTTGTGTATGCATCTGTAAGTATTTTGAGCGTTTGCGCCGTGACACTCCGGGTGATCGTAATCTAAATACGTTGAAATATAAAACGACTGACAAAAGAGTTTTATACGTCAAATACGTATACGTTTTATACGTCCCGTGGTTCGTCATGTGACCAGGCCCTGTCTGTGCATGACAACGTCAATCATCATCAAGCATCAAGGTAACACGCGTGATCAGCATGTGAACACTTCATTGGATCACAGTTGGTTGTCATGGTGTTGAGAGCCCAATGGCCACTGGGTACTATTGCGCAATTTGTCCATTTTGTGGCGGAGGAAAAAAAAAAAAAAAAAAAAGACGACAAAAAAACAAAGGCATTTTATGACTGGGCTACGACAGGTATCCCAGTAAATAGTCAAAAAGACAATGAATGAATATCCTTCGCCGAGCAAAATTAAGGCCATGGCATATTTACGTTTTCTGAGAAAGTACCTCGCATCGATTTCTGGGAAAAAATTGAATACGTCAAAACAAAAGATCGTAAAAGAAAAAAAAATGGAAAAAGAAAAGATCTGTAAATAATTTCACGTGGCTGGCTTTGGTTCGAAACACTTCAATCTATTCAACAATGTCACGCACGCTAAAAGAAAATTGTGGCACATTTGATTATGGAACTCAACCATGCATATTAATTAAATGGTTGCTTTAGAAAAGAAAGTGTGCCAAATTTTTTTGGCACTTGATGATGTCAGTTAACTATTCACTATGGTAAATAGAAGCCAGGATTTTTCCAAGGAAATTTTCGAAATCGTGAAAGGTAAAGTTTTGAAAGCAAAGAAAGTTTTTGCAAGGGAAACAAGATCGATGCGGCATACCTGAATATTTATTCCCAAACTTTTAAGAACTCTACACAGCTGTAAGTCCAAACGGGTGACCGGTGCTTCTGCGAACGCCTCCTTAACCTTAAGGGTTACGCCAAAAGTTTGCCATTTGGAATCTAATTAATATTCTCATAACGTTACGAACTAATTTGTTTGTCTCCTTTTTGAAGGCAAAGGTTGTTTTACTCGGTACAAGAAGATACTCAAAGAATTAGGAAATAGCACTGCCATAAAAACGCTGCATATTTATGATGGATTTTTCTCTTCTGTGTTGAACCCATTTCAGCGACTTTATTCCAAGTGCCACGGAAATTCTGAGAAAAGGATTGACGTCAATCACTGAGGACCTAGTTATATTTTAACACTTCAAAGCTGATGAAGTATGAAGTCGCCGTAACGAATTTTTAAACTCTGATGTTTCGAGCCACTTCTAACGTTCCTCTAATTTTTTTAATCTTTATAAAAACAATGAATAAAGAACCAATCTAAGTGAGAACAAATCATAACAAGAAAATCAACGAGGGCGGCATTTAATTTGTAAGACTAAGAGCTGGTGACGAGGCATGCCGCGAGCGATAGCGTTCGATTATGGACACCTTACTATTGATCTCCAGCTTATTTTAGGCCATTGTAACAAATCAAAGGAGCGGGAAAGGCTTAAAAACTTAATTTTGAACTGCTTTCACTCAGCCTCCTAATATTCAATGAGAATAACCTCGTCAAGAAAAGCCGCTCTCTCTCTTTACTTTGTTCGAATATAGCACAACAACCACGGATAATACAAGGGACTGGCACTACCGCTCTCTTCCAGTAGCCATTTACAAACAATTTACAGTTCAGGACCAGGAGGCCGACACAGGTCGTGCAGAGGTGAGCCAGAGATATAAAAGGCGAACTTGGGCGAAATCTTATCTAAGGGTCAAGGGTCATTTAATTATTTTTTTTCTCCCTTCTTCGCTGTATGTGCGACTGATTCGTGTCGAGTTCCAACTTCACCATGGTTCAGTGGCAAATGCTTAAAGTCTTGAATCAACCAAAAGAAGGAGAGCTAAAACCACAAAACACTGTAAAAAACGAAACTGGACTTTGACCGGATAAAAATCTTGCATAGTCATTCGCTTAGAAGTGCTTATATCTCAAACTTTTTTTACCGTTGTATGAATCGTTTCGTACGATATTTCATCCGAAAAGAGACGTTTTCCACTTCAACATGTTATTCCAGAGCTCCCTCGGGCTGAACAAACAGATCAATACCTTAATTGCTAAAGAGAGTTTACTGAGAGCATCCTTCTCAACCGTCAGTTTGCAGCAGTTTTAACAGCTAAAAAGCTTTGTATAAAACTTCCGGGACCAATGTGTTGGAAATATTTCTTGCCTAATAACTTTGAAATAAATTTAGTAATAGTTACGTAGAGGCAAGGGTACGGTGGCCCATAGAGGACATGCCAAATTTTTTTAACGCGCGATACATGATAAATTATCGCGCCATAAATGAAAAATTATCGCGCTATAAATGGGAAACTTGTGAGGTCGCACGTGTTTGGCTGTCACGCACGTTGTTTCCACGGACGGTAATGGCTGCCACAGTTGAGGAGGTATCACTGTAGGTATGCTTACAATAGTTCGTTTTATTTTCATGAAAAGTTCATTTAGCAGTACTTTCTAATATACTTCTACGACACACACCTCTGTGAATCAGTACAGTAAACCTTGATTTTGCGAAATCTTACGAGACACTTTCAAAGATGGCTGTCAGTGTCTGAGAACAAGTGTGGATTATCTAATCTTTCTGATAACATTGCAGGTTTGAAATTTGTAGACTAAGAAAGAACTTTCCAACTGTTGCAGCCATTGCCATCTCGTCCTCGGAAACAACGTGCGTGACAGCCGATCAAGTACTACCTAACAAGTTTCCCATTTATCGCGCGATAATTTTTCATTTAACGCGCGATAGTTTATCATTTATCGCGCGATAAATAAGATTTATCGTGCAACAAAAAAAAATGCAGCATGTTCTCTATGGGCGACCGTACAAGGGTCTTTCTTTGCAACGGTTTGATTGTAGGTTTCCCAAGGAGCCGAGTGTGGAAAATTGATTGCCCGGCGATCATAATCATTCTAGTGCACAGTGAACTCGTGCGTGTACAGAAATGCGTGACCGCAATACGGTTAGCCAGAGGAAATTCCTCTCTGCTCAAGAGGATCCATTTAGTTTATAATGTAAACACAGGACAGCCAGTATAAACAACTGCTTTTAAAACGGTTGTTTTGGGAGCTAATTATTGCCCAAGTAAGG